TTGGCTCCGAGAATGTGGCGGCAACAGTCTGGTTTATGCTATTTGAGACTAGGATTTTTCTGTTGTTTGTTATCACAGCCTACGGGCCTAAGTTTGTGAGGGCTTCCTGTTGTATCTTAGGTTGCTGCTCTCACTTTGCTTAGGCCTTTTATTTTATTTGTTGTTGTTTATCATGTTCCTTTTAAGCCTTGTACTAGTTTTTATTGTAATGAAAGTTCTATTGACCAAAAAAAAAAAACCAACAGTTTCATTTAATTGGATCTAATCAAACCGCTCTTATTAAAATTAAAGAATATTCTTGTAAATTATGGTCAATACCAAGTATATAAGCAGTGATTTCAAATTCGGAGGTTAAGGGTACTCTAGCAACTTTACGTAAGACAGAGTTTGGCGATGCAATTTCCTGTTTCATTTAAGTTAAGAATAATGCTAGAGAGACCAAATTTTTTAAAACTAAATTTGTAAACCAAATGATGTGGTTGTTAATGATTTAATTATTACTTAAGTGTTGATTAACACGCTTATTTCTTATTTGTGACATATCATTTTGTTTGCAAATTTGGTTTAAATTTTGGGTAATGCTTGGGATACTAAATTTGTAGACTAAGTTTGCAAACTAAATGTTGTGTCCCCAATAGAATTGAGCACGTTTATCAACGCTTGAGTAATAATTTAGTCATTAACTTTCATGTCATTTAGTTTATAAAATTTTGTTTACAAATGTAGTCTCCCTAGTATTACTCTTAAAATTTTAGTCTATATTAGTGTAAATTTTGTAGACTAAGAGCATCTTTACCAGTTGGTAGAGGGCAATGACAATTGGAGGGTAAGGGCAACAAAATTGCTCTTACTATTCATTCCAAATAATAATTGCCTTTGTGCAAGTCCACCATTTTGGAAGGAGAAAAGGCAAGGACAAACGCGATTACTATTAACAAATACATTTTTTCTTAATTTTTTAATGCTTATTTCGTCTTATCCTCCACGTGTCATTATCGTCATAGACTTTTGCTAAGATTCGCAACCCTTCATATAGTGCCACGTGTCATTATCCATTCGTAATATCTGCTTCGATTTTTGGTAACATTCTTGACCATTCTTGTCATGCTGCATGTCATTATCCAATCTTATGATTTCCTCATTTTTCTCCATAAAAACCCTTCAAACCACCAGATATACTCACACCAAGCCTCCTCCATCCTCCTTACTCATCTTAATTCGTACATTTTTACAAAACAAAGTTCTTCCAACAATGGATAACTTGAGGATGTTGCATGAGAAAGAAAAATGAGAAGATGAACAACGAAAAAGGAGACATGCCTAACACTGAAGGTATAGAGAAGCAACACTTCAAGTGGTGTAAGTGGTCACAACAATCAATCACCAAAACGAAGAAGTAGGTAGCTCAGGCATCGGTTATGCACCCAACCTTAACTAAGGCAGAGGAACCCGAGGTGAGAATCTATTGCAAGATTACTTTATTCCAAATTGTTTGTACCTGACATATTATTTTCTTAGAATATTTAGGATGCAACCACATTTGTTCAACAAAATCATAGTTGTTATTTGCAACCATGCTAATTACTTTGTTCAAAAGAAGAATAATGTGAATAATTCAGGTTTTCTTCCTGATAAAAGGTCATGGCTGCCTTGCGAATGCTTGTGTATGAGGCATTTGTAGATGCGATTGATGAGATATCGAGGATGTGAGAATCCACTGTTCTTAAGTCCCTGAATAGGTTGTGCAACACAGTTGAACAACTATACACCACAGAGTACCTTCGTGGACCCACACCAGTGGACCTTAGAAAGCTGAGGTTGAGGTTTTCCTAGCATGATTGGAAGTATTGATTGTATGCATTGACCATGGAAAAATTGCCCAAGTTCATGGCAAGGAGATTTCAGAAATCGAAAAGCAACAAAAAGTGTCATTTTAGAGGGGGTGGCATCATTTGATACATGAGTTTGGTATGCATTCTTGGGCGTTCCAAGAACTCAAAATAACATAATCGTCCTGGATCAATCACCTGTTTCCAACGACGTGTTAAAAGGAGAATCACCTCAAGTTACGTATGAAATCAACGACACAATGTACTTGGGGCTAGGGGCGAACTCTCTGGCCGCTCGTGGTCCACTTTTATCAAGACATCGCCAAATCCACACACAACAAAGGAAAAACAATTTGCAACAAAACAAGAGCAAGCAAGAGGGGAACAAGAAGGAAAAACGCTTTGTCCTAGGGCTGGGCAAACGGGTCCTGGACCCGCGGGTAGGGGCGGGTAATACGGGTACGGGGCGGGTACGGGGCGGTTCTTAGTTTTGTAAAAATAGAAAGGGGCGGGGCAGGGCGGGTAATTCAAGTTTTAGGGGCGGGCCGGTTCCAAAATTATAGGATCCGCGGGTACCCGGATCGGCCCGTTTATGTTAGATTGGACGGACGAGATTTAATATCATCTCTCCATCCAATCTCAACCGTCGGTTTAAGTTTTCATTTTTTCAACCCTAGCCAACCTCCCCGACCCCGAGTCCTGACTCCTGAGTTCCAGAAGCATTCAGCCTCAGCAGCCTCAAACTCTCCCTCCTCGACTCCCTCTCCCTGAGTTCCTCTCCCTATCCCTCTCCCTCGAATCCCTCTCCCTATCCCTTCCCTCGACTCCGACTCACACACAGTGCTGCTCACCCCACCACTCTCACAGCACTGTCGCGAGTCGCGACCAACATCATCACCCCCCATCACCACCTCCGCAGTCGCAACCACCATCATCTCCCCATCACCACCGTCGAGGACACTGCTACTACCAGTACCAAGGCAAGTACCAACCATCATCCCTCTAAAATTTAGGTAATTTTGAATTAGGTTTTACTATTAATGTGAATTTCTGGTGTAGGGATTTTTAGGGGTTTTAAGTTAGAATTTGTAGAATTTGTAGATCGATGATTGAGCTATAAAAAATATTCTCAAAGATCTTGTTTTTGGGTCTCGACAATGCCAGAAAAACGACGTTGCTTCATATGCTCAAAGATGAGGTTTTTCTTTGAATCTCATCCTTTTAATCGGACTTTTTCTAAATTTGTTGGTGGGTTTTTGGTCCTTTCGAATTCGATGAAATTTGGGAATTTTCAATGCTTCAATGGTGTTTTTAATTGGTATTTGGTTTATGCTGAAATTTTCGTTTTTGTTTTACGTTTAATCAATCCGGGGTCTGTTTGGTTGATGAGAAAGTGAAGAAAAAGAAAATATGGGCTGAAGGAATAGTTTTTTTGAGAGTGTAGTTTTTAATTGTGCAATTGAAAATCTTTTTTCTTTTCTTTTGTGTAATTCCTATGGGTTTTTTTTTTCATTAGATTTTCTGCTCCCAATCCAATATAAGTATTATTGAGTTTAAAGATGCTATTGAATCACTCAAGTTTTAATATCTGGAAGAAGAAGAAGAAATGAATAAAGCAATCTGCTCTTGTAATTGTTTTGATTCTGTTTGATAATTACTTGATTAGCATAGAATTTAGTTTTTTGCTTCTGGGATTTATTGATGATGCATTGTTGCAGTCTTGCAGAGGTTAGTTCAACACCAGCCGACACAGTATCCGACATCCGAGGAGTGGAGCATTGGTAAAATCAAGTTTAAGGCTTTTGATTTGGGTGGTGGACATCTGATAGCACTTTTTTCTCAGTAAAAGTATGCTAAGCTAATAGTTTTTAGATTGAGAAAGATTACAGTCAGTAATCTTCTTGTTTTCTTATGATGAGTACCTCATTGCTTGTTATTTCTTGACAACTCCAATATTTTGCAGTGTGCTTCTTCTGCCTCTTGTCTCGTACTCTGTGTGTGTGTCATGCGTGCGGGCGTTATTGAGGAGTTAAATTAAAGAAAATTATATAGGCTAACTATGGTATACCCAGTTTAAGATAGTTTGCAGGTGTTATATTAGTTTTAACTAAATTTTTTTTTCTTACACGCAATTTTCTTGTGTTCAGTAAATAATTCTTAGGGTAGTTTATATATCAAAAGAGGTAGCATGCAAGAATAAGATAGCGTTATTCGTGGCCTTTAATGATCCTGATGCTCAGATTGATTGGCTTAAGAAATTTATGGAGCGAATGCCTCTAGTCATTCGTTTCCCTTTTTCTGTACTTGTTGAATCTAGTAAAAGCATCACTTGTGTTTCAAGTTATACCGGTTTTGTCTTGCTGCATATTATGTTATCTCTATGTTTCCTTGACGGAAAAAGAAATGTAATCACTATGTTTCTTCCTTGGTTATGCTGGTTTTGTCTTGCTTCATACTATGTTATGTCTATGTTTCCTTGACCGAAAAAGAAATGTTATCTCTTGTTATAATAAAAACTTTTTCCCTGTTTTCTTCAAACTTGTATGATTTTCCTTGCTGTTTGCAAACTGCTGTTTCAATGATTTGTTGCTAAAACTACCTTATTGGTCAATCTGTGCAGTAAAAAAACTGCAATCTGTGCAGTTTGTGAGAAACTGCAAAAAAGTGCAATCTGTGCAGTTTGTGAGAAACTGCAATCTGTGCAGTTTTTTCAAACTGCAATTTGTGTGCAGGAAACATTTTTTAAACAGGAAAAAAAAAGGACCCGTGTACCCAGACCGAACCGGCCCGTTTCAACCGGGCCGGGTAAGGTCCGGTTCCTATTTTCAAAATTGGAATACCCGGCCCGGCCCGCCCCGTCTCCTTTAATTCCGGGTCCGGTCCGGTTCCTTCAAAAATGGGCCCGGCCCGGCCCGTGCCCAACCCTACTTTGTCCAATGATACTATTATAATTTTTTATTGTTTAAATAATAATAGACATATTAAATTTTCCTTAAACTTAAAAAACAAAGATTTTTTTATTTTTTTTTAAAGCCAAATGAAAAAAATGAGTACAGATTCGGTACCTGAGTACCCGGCAATTAGAAAAGTTCCTCAACAGTAAGTAATTCCACGTGTCGTCGGTAGAGTGAGCGCCATTTAAAAAAATGTGGAGATTTAAAAAATGTGAAGGTTCCCATCTCGTCCACCCCGCGACGGGATTTGCGCACCCACAAAAACCAGACCAGGCAACCGCAGACAGGTTTCTGGTTTTTGCTGCACTGATTATTAATGTCCCCATCGAAACTCCCCCCTCCCCTTCCAATCTCTCCACCTTTATATAAACCACCGCACACCGGAACCTAGAATCTCAACCGACATCTGCAGATTTACCTTTTTCCATTTCACTTTTTTGTTTTGGATCTTTATTGTTGGTAATATTATTATAAAGTTTAACATGAAGAATCGGAGTCCATTTTCCGAGAGACCTGGGTTTCTCGCCGTGACTCTGGTTCTATTGATCGGCGCGGCGCTGGCCATCTCCAGTTTCTGCCAGGGTGGCACCTCCGTCCTCTACTCCATCGCCGGCCCAACATTTCTACGCGCCGTTGACGATAACTACTCGCCTGTGGCGATCCAGATCCAGGCCATCCTCCACTACGCCACGTCGCGCCAGACCCCGCAGCAGTCGCGAAAAGAGATCGGCGTGTCCTTCCAGGTCCTCAAGTCCCGCGCCCCCTGCAACTTCCTGGTGTTCGGCCTCGGCTTCGACTCCCTCATGTGGGCCTCCCTGAATCCACGCGGCACGACGCTGTTCCTGGAGGAGGATCCCAAGTGGGTCCAAAGCGTCCTCAAGGACGCCCCCCAGCTGCGGGCCCAGACGGTGCGCTACCGCACGCAGCTCAAGGAGGCGGACAAACTACTTTCCTCGTACCGCTCCAAACGGTCGTGCTCCCCGTCCGAGGCGGTCCTGCGCGGAAATACCGAGTGCAGGCTGGCACTGCACAACCTGCCGGACGAGGTGTACGACAAAGAGTGGGACCTGATCATGATCGACGCGCCGCGCGGGTATTTCCCGGAGGCGCCGGGGCGGATGGCGGCTATTTTCTCTGCAGCTGTCATGGCGAGGAGGAGGCGGGGATCCGGTGTGACACACGTATTCCTGCACGATGTGGATCGGAAGGTGGAGAAGGCGTTCGCGAATGAGTTCCTGTGCAGGAAGTTTTTGGTTAAGGCGGTGGGGAGGCTGTGGCACTTCGAGATCCCCTCCGCCGCAAACGTGACGCACGGTGACGGCTCGCGTTTTTGCTAAATCCCGCGGCGGTCGTAACCGCGAGCTTGGATTGGTGGAGAAGCGTTACTCGATACTACTCGCTGCTTTCTCTCTCTTTTTTTATTGAGGAATTATTTTAATTTTATTTAATTTAACTGTTTTTACAGTATTTTTCTGTATTTTTTTTAATTATTATAGACCGATTATTTGAAATTAGTTCTTCGTCAAGTTAAAAAAAAAAAAACCGTTGCACTTAGAAAATTTCAAAATCCCCCATCCATCTCCGCTGTTAGATTTTATTAATAACATGAAGTGCTTTTACAATATGATAATGTATAAAATGTGATAGTTCATTATTAATTGAACGAGAATTCTCTTTGTAAAGATCTCGAATATCTTTTAATTACGTCTGTTAATCGTAAATTGTATGGTTAATTTTTATCGGATATTGTTATATTTTATTTTTAATAAAAAAATTTATAATAATTTTTACGGCACGATCTACCTAAAACACATTTCTATTAGTTTTTTGGTTGTTCTTTTTTAAATATTAATAAGTTGATGGAATGATTAGTGGGCCTGGAATAATCGGTGAAAAGAAAGATAATTTAAATTAATTAATGATAATGGTGGAAAGTAATCCTACAGGATTCTTTTTGGATTATTTTGATAAGGATTGTGAGGATTCGTGAATCATGTCATTTCATTGTATATCGTGCAATCAGTTTTTATTAAGTACTTTTTGTGTTTAATTTTAAATAAAAATATTTAAAATAATTTTTAACTGCACGATGTACGATGAGCAAACACAATTCACAGATCCTCAAAATCTTCACAAAAAAAATCCAGATTCGAAAGTAATTGACCTCTCAACAGAACAATAATGGCGAGTTCGAATTTTTTAGGTACTTTCCGACTTTAATTTTTTGAAGATTGTATGGTCCTTGATTCATGTTTAGGCTTGTGAATTAATTGTAAAGACCTTGTCAACTGGAATGTCGCAATGTGTGGGTTACACCGCGGAATAATCCGAGGACTTAGGGCATATGCTTGACCGATCATATCATCATTAATTTAATTTAATTCTTGAATTGCATGTTTATTTATTAGTTTAATTGATTAAAAATAAGGAAAACTAATGAAAAGAGCTTGAAAACTTTAAGTTTTAACGATAATGACAAAATAAATAGTAAAGTAAATGGTACCATAATTGACTTTTTAATGTTAAATTGTGATTTTTCATTAAAATGAACAATATCGAAAAATTTCCTTAAAAATATTCATTTATGCACTTAAAATCTTGCAATATTCTCTTCAAATCCCGCTTGTTTTAAGAAAAAAAAAGAATTTATACACCCAAGCTAATAGGCTTGGCTAATTGTAACTTGAGCTTCGGCCCAAAAGTGGCCTGCCCCCGTAATTGAACTTGGTCAGGTTTAGCCCAGCTACGTTTCAGGTTAGGTTTGTTTGTTTGTTTGTTTTTTTTTTTTTTTTGTCAAACGATAGATTTTGTCAGATTAGTTGTTCGATTAGCCACCGACAGGTTCGAACCCACACCTTCATGGAAGGGCTCAACTTCTTTCCACCAATGCGGTAAAGGGCCCAGGAGGATCCTCTATGGATCTTCTTTGTGAGGATCATGAGGACCCTCAAATCGTGTCTGTTCATCGTATATCATGCAGTCAGTTTTCGTTAGGTATTATTCATATTTAATTTAAAATAAAAATATTTGAAATGATTTCTAACCGCACGATGTATGATGAACTGACATGATTTGAGGATCCGAAGAGGATCCTCATTCGCAAGGGGCCACTTCCTTTTATTTCTTTAGTAAGGTTAGGTTAGGGTTGCAAGGCAGACATTATTATCCTTCATTTGTTACTGTTTAGAGGTTATGAATTGCTACTTACCCTTGTTCAGATTTAAACTATTGATGCTTCTGATTGTTTGATCCTCTTGGTCTCTGCATGTAGATGAGGCCTTAATCTTCAACTCCATAATCTTCTTTGTGAAGTTCAAGAGACAGTGAACACGCCAATGGCCAATGTGTATTGTCTTTCGTACACTTTTGGAACATAAAACTTCGGTGTAATTAATGGTAAGAATATTTCTATGACTTCTCACCACAACTTGTACTGCATTCCTGATTTCCCTCTAAACTTTTATTTTAACTAGTTTCTCCTAAAAGAATAGCAAATAACATCTAATGAAGATGAATGAAATGTGTGTAAACATGACCAGTAAGTTGAAATTTAACTGTTTACAATGACTTGGGGTTTGAGAGGAGGGAATAATTGGCCCAAATGAAGCTCAACGGAAAAATCAGCAGTTGCTACAAGTTCCAAGAAAAAATTAGCGAAATACTCCAAATTAAAAGCTCTAACCACAAATTCTTTGCTTAATTCTTATTGACCAAGAAAGTAAAGCATGCCTTATGTCAAGACTACTAGGTTTTGAAAAATAGGATTAGGAAATAGAAAGACTTACTATGCTCCATTTATAACAGGAACAAGTACAATCAAGTCCATGAAATTACACATGTTTATTGTTACTAAAAGCAATATCATGATGAAACCCTAGGCTGGATTAGTCATAGTATCAAATGTTTTTCTCCTGACCAAGAGGCAAGTGATGTTGGATGGCTGGGTCTGAGTGTGTGTATTGTTGAGGGTGCACAACACAAAATCTGGCCGGTACAGCGCCAGTGCTAACCGGTCCTCCCCCAAAACCAAGCCGGTCGCATCAAGCAGGACATGCCATGAGTTCCTGTGTGCCTCCGAGATCCAATGCATGGAGTATTTAGTCCCATTGATAGTGGCCGGATAGGAAAACAGTCCCTTGGGACTATACTTGCACTTTCTCCTAAAGTACTGGCTAAGTTGTGACCCTTTTATCCTCAAATCCAACCAAGTTTCTGGTGCTGAAATAACCCTAGATTCTTTGGTACTTGCAAATTCCTTTATGGAATCAGTCTCCTCACCCACAATGGTCATATAGTAATTTCCTCTGAAGAAAGGGTAGCTCTCACCAATCATCACCATAGCATCTTTGTAATTTGCCATGAAAAGGACTAAATAATCCTCCTCCTGCAACCCACAGTGCCTCAATGCCCTATTCCTTGCTTGGACCTCAGGAATGGATACAAAGTTCCCTTGGAACGAAGATTTCTTGGTCAGGATGTCTAAAAGTCTTGAGGGTTCCATCTGAGTCCTGTCCAGGTCTGAGTGAGTGCTGCTGAAAGGGGACAACTCTTTTGGTGCCACACTCTTGGGTGACTTGAGCTTATTGTCATGGGGTGCAGTTCCTGATGATTTTTCGTTGATCGAAAGATTATCGATGTCTAGTTTTTCAATATTTTCCACTAATCCATTGCAGTATTCTGGGTACTTTGCGAAGATGTATTGCTGAACATATTGCATCTCACTTGGTGTGATTGGACCTGACCATCTCAAATCAAGGCCTCTGAGTGAGGATATGGCTTCTGCTATCAAGTGAGCAGGAAACATGGTGTTTGCCTTCTGTAATTCAAACAAGTATAGCGGAATTCAATTAACGCATGAATTAGTAATACCACAAGATGGTGCGACCGTCACACTTGTAAAAAAAGGGGTAAAACTATTTGGACTAATTAGTCCAAGAACAGAATTCACTGACCTTAATTATCATGCTGCTTGGTCTCCCATCTTTTCTTGGACTTCCATCTTGAGTTGGTGAGTTTGGTGAAGAACCCGAAGCCAGTTCTTGGAGTTCCCCTTTTACCATATCCTAAAGAGCAGAGAATTGGAAATTTACAGCTGAAACTTAGCAACAATATTTTTTCTTGTTCCAATTATCTCAACCACGAGTAAAAAAATCAGAACTTGGGTACCGAGGGAGAGCATAGTGCCCTAGCCAACTTCACCATGCCAAAATATGTCAATGAGAAGTGATTTCCAAACACTCATTTTCTCTCGATGCACACCCTGTTTATTCCTAATCATTGAGTTGAATAACTAAGGAGAACCAAGGGACTAAAATCAACTGGGGTGTGCAGACGGAGAGAATGAATGGACGGAAATTATTTCCTTGTACCAATTAGGAGCAATTTTGAAGTAATTAAGTCAGAGAGGAAAGTTTATGGACATACGTATATGTACCTTGAGTTTGCCATTCATGATGTCTTTTTCTTGTATGTTTCTTCCCATGCTGCTGCTCCCTCCTTCAGAAGCAGGAGAACATAGAAAATTGGGAGAGGAAATAGAAGTGTTGAACAGGAAGCTGAGACTAGTCTTGTGTTATATGAAGATTATATGCTGCAGGTGCAGGGTTGGGGTTGGGGGATCAAATTGAAATATTAAAGTAAAACCATATATCTTCAAGACAAAGAGAGCAATGCCAGCAAGTGATGAAAGCAACACCCACACACAGCATTTAGGACGTTAATCAGAGTTTGTTCAATTATATAATCCCCTTGATTAGCTCAGCAAACTATAATTATTCGGGTTAATTAACCCAAGTGTACACATTATGTCTACAACTTCAAATCTTTATTCTCAAACGTTCGTGACATGTTTACTTACTGGAAATGAGTGACTTTCTTAGTTTTTACTAACACGTACAAAACTTAAAAGCATGTCAGTCCAACATTACAACATGTAATCCAATACTTGAAAAGTCAAGAATCAATTGCGTTGATTACGGAAGTAGTTGATCCCGTAGCCTTTCCTCAACTCTAAACCAAAACTAAGTAGGGCATCTAGTTGATGGTTCAATTTTTGGATTTTTAACTTGTGTCACCCGTAAGTTGATATTTTTTACATCGAAATGCTTACGTGACACCGTTGATCAATCTAACTTACAAAAAATAAAAGATTACAAAAAGTTGGAGACGACGAAATGTCAACAACTAGCAAAGTTTTTTAATAAAGATGCCAAGTATTTGGTCATCATAGATTGATTAAATTATTGGGAGAGATGGCGACTCGTTGAGGAGAGCAAATGCATTCAGGAATCTTTAGAAAAACGACAGGGACTCGTAATTTTGATGAACTCAGCCTACGACAAGATAAATTAGTAGATTTGAACCAAAGTTAATAATAATTTTAGGTGGGATTTGATTTGTGAAATAAAATTATGCGATTGCCTTTGAATATTCACGTACAACCAATTGGTCTAGCCTTCTAGGGTTTATTTTCTATTTGTTGGGAAGGCGAGATAGGGAATTATGTGTCAGTTTATTCAAAGTAGCGTGCTTTTTTCTTTGCATTCGAGTTTGAATGTTACTATTTGTAGTTTAGATGTATTTTTAAAGTAAAATATGTTTTCCCAAAACAGGGATTAGTTTATATGCTTAATGATGTGGGCTTAAGATTATCAATATAAAATGTTTTAATTTAGTCCCAACCACAATTCAAAATAGATGTGGTCCTAAACATTTACATCCATGAACTATTACACGCATGTCGCTTGGAATCCAAACACTATTGGTTCATCTTGCAAGTTCTGCATCGTTTTAGCTCATTTGTCTGCAATTGTCGATCAGGAAATTTGAATTCGGAACTTCAGTTAACAAAGTGAAAGTAAGTGCCGTCAGACAAAACTAATATTAGTTATCTTTTAAAAATGATATGGATTGGTTTGATCCCTTTAGTGTAATCCCCCTTCCAAGTTCCAAACATTCGTTGATGCACAAAAGGTCCTATTGCGTAGGAGACGCCGCATGGCAGCAATTTGGTAGCTCCTTTGAGCCAAAGCTTTGAAGCAAAACGCTTCATATGTTTGCATTACATGATTGGAATTTTGCTAAATTGGTATGTCGGCAGCATCTCATCTCCAACCAAACACATTATTTCTTCACGAATATCAAATTGGACGGACTCGATTAGTATGATGATAATAATTGGTTTGCATTATTGCAGTATGCTGAGAGTATTTTGTGACCTCAAACAAATTACCCCAAAGAAAATTACGATTAAAATCGACTCATTTCGCAGACTTCGAAACCAACATTAAAGAAAAATATGCCCCCAGTAGAAGTTAAGAGCTTGGTTAGAAGTGCTTTTAAAATAACTGAAAACGCTTTTGGTGAAAGTGTTTCTGAGTTCCAGAGCACTTGCATTTTTACCAAGGATTAGTTCCAAAAACACTCATCCAAAGCGCCTTCAGTCATTTTAAAAGCACTTCAAAGAGCCCTAATTGTATTGGATACGATCTTCGGACAGATGATTCTAAGATAGTAGGAAACTAATCTGGCCCTTCATAAAATCAGTCAACAAAGCATAAAATTCACAACCAAATAATACAGGTCGATGAATGCCTACTTTCTGAGTTACACCTAATTACATACCGAGCGAGTATATGGATAGATTCTGAGCCACGACTGCTCTGCTCACTGGTATCATGAATTAGCCCAAATCTGATCCAGACAAGAGGAGGGCACTGGGAAGGCCGCTAGAAATTGGCACTCTGTACAAAAGTACGGTAAAAAAGGATTATCCCCGCTACAAAAAGTATTTCATCCGATCATCTCTTCTCATGGCATTGTACACAGCTTGGACCTGGAAATCACAGTAGTATTCCATGTCATTGAATTATAAATTTTACCATTTTACTACATGAAAATTTGTTTACATCATGGATATAGAGAAATAACATTAGCAAATTCGTGGCTGTTGTGCAGGGGAGAGGGGGGAAAACCTGTTCGCTAGAAATTACTTGAACAGGTCCAATGTTTACAGATACATATTTCCCCCTTGATGATACCTTCTGCCTCACACGACCCTGACATAAAACACAACACCACGTAAAATTGTCCATCAAACTTTTGCATTCATTATTTGAGAGTGGATTGAACTCGTGCACTTGATTGATTAGACATCAGTAAACATATCAACAATCACATTTTCAAAAGTGATTCTTAATTCAAAAGGGGCAAAAAAAAGGATTGAAGCGCAAAGATTGTTGTTACTTGTTACACCATCCTACCACTCGCCACATGATCCTTTTGGATGAAATGAATTTTATCGTATAGTAGGTTTAAATTAAAACCAATACCAACTCATGATTAGTGCATGAATTGTGACCAAGCCGAGAAGACAAAGACTCCCGGTACTTTTAGTATAATGTTCCTTCCATTGACAATTATCTTATCGGTAAAAAATACCCATATGATGGAACTCACAAAAAGGATAATAATTTGGCATCCATTGATCTTAATTTGCCATGTTGATAACTTCATTTTATACTCAACAATCTAAACTTCAAAGCGCATTCCGATAGCCCTATGGTCAATTCAACTATTGGTCGGTATCCCTATGATTGGTTCCATGTAACCCTCAATAAGTTCACATCAAGAGCCTTTTTCAGTTACGAGCACTAAGGGCAGGATGTATACCACATTTTCTACCCAACAGTTCCCTCTTTCTTAATAGATGCTGGCAAAGTACCTACTACACTCAATAGAGGAGTTGAATTGTTCCTTTTACCACATAGCAGCCTTGCTGAACTCTTTGCACAGCATTTTCAATTCAAACCTAATAATGCTCAACATCATTTTTGAGCGCATTTCTCACTCCTCTTCAGGAGCTTTGAGCTTGCAATAAGATATTTCTCAGTGGATAACTGCATAAACCATGATTAGTTTTCCATCATGATCACTGGTCAAAGCTGCTCCTTGTTTCTCATAACTGCTTCATATGCCATATTCCTCAGGCTGTCCATCAGTACATCTTATAGTCCCTGAGCTACAGTGACACTTACTTTGGTTGGAATCATAAAGTTCTGTACAAAAATAGAGCGCACGAGGGGCATGGTAACATACATCGCTATAAGGTCTCCCTTTGACCCCAATAAAGGTCGTACCCAGTGCACAAGGCTCCCGCTTTACGCAAGGTCTGGGAGAGGTGAATGTCGGCTAGCCTTACCCCCATTTATGGAGAGGCTGCTCCTAAGTCTCGAACCTGAGACCCTTTGACCCCAATGAATAATAAAATTACCTTAAGCCTACTGATAGTAATTTCAAGGATTTACACAGAAGTCTAAGAAACAACTCAAATGCACCACATCTTTGCGTATGGTTTAGCACATACTAAACATTGCAACAATATGTCCTTGCATGCTTTAGGACAACAAGCACCTCTTTGGCTATCATGATTCACTTGTATCAGTCCATAAATTTACACACTTGAGAAGTCAACTCCGATTTAACTGCTAGTTGCCAATTTTATTCATCTCCTATTGAACCACTCAGTACACAAGTAATAAAGAACGGGGATTGTAGCTCAAGTGGTTAAAAAGCATTTACTCATGCACCCGAGTTCCTACGTATTCATGTACATTGATACACCAAATGAAATACTATTTACAAAAATTTCACCCAAAAGGGAAACAACTTCCCCCAGAAGTGTATGCCCACTTAACGGCTTGCTTTCAGGAAGGTACTGGTACGCATAATGCTTGCAAATACATGCATTCGACAACCAATTCATAAATATATCTATCTACGAATTGAAATGACAGCCATCCACAACAAGGGATGCATACACATATATCGTAAGTATGCATACCTCTGGAACAGGTTGCTGAATTACGGACTCGACAGCAACAACCATAGCTTGCACAAAATCATCCCCTCCAGTTCCAATTGCTGTGAACCCTCTAACAGTCGGGTACGAATTTACCTTAAAACACGCGCGCGCGCGCACAAAATCATACCATTTATATACACAAGCTCATAAAAAATCTTAAAAACTTAATCAATGAGCTTTTTAAGTCAAAATTAAGACAATGGCTTTCCCAATACCTTTTGATCCAAGTCGACCCATTCATTCGTAGAATCATCAGCCACCGTGCCTCCGATAACCACATTCGTCGTCTGCCCAACCCTCCCTTCTGTTTTCGACACCTCTGCATCCAATTCCAACACCAACAACGAGTCAAAAACACACATAAATTGAAAAAATTAAGGTAAAATAAAATAAATTTCACAGGCTAGGAGGCGAGCGAAACCTGAAATTGCTTTCAAGATGGCCTCTTGCGGCGGGCCCTGGTCGTCCTCCGACAAAGCCGGCGAGTTTTCGTTGTGGGAGCTGTTGAGGTGAGTCCGTCGCGCGAAGTGGATGTCTCGGGTCCTGAAGTGGCGGCTCAGCCTGGGGGAGGAGAATCCGCGGGTCCTGAACGAGGCGGAGGCGGAGCTCCGAGCGAGATGAACGGGTCGCCACGCTTCTATTAGCAGAGCGGAGCGGAGCGCGGTCCTGCACGCCATTTCTGGTCCTTTTTGGATTCCGAGAACAGATTGTTTCGTGTGTGTGCGTGCGTGTTTTTTTTTATTTCTCTGTCCCAAAAGATAAATAAAGGACATTCTTTGAGATTTAGAAAGACGAAGTTATCCTTCGAAATTGGCGTTGGTGAGGGGGATCATAAGGGTATAAAAGTCATTTCGTGTGATTGTGGATGGCTTGGCTTCCCACCATAGTCTGTTTACCGCTGACGAGGGTATAAAAATCTTTTTGATACTTTTTATTTTTAGTTTTTATTTTTTATGAACTCAACTAGTTATAGGAATTTGAATTGACGGATTTGAGAATGCAGATGTGGGCTTAGCCAAGTTGGCGTTCATTTTAATTTGTTGTTCTGTATTTTAAAATTAAATTAATTTGAATATCGCTTGAACAACAAATAAATAGTTTCAGAGATTTGAATTCGTAAATTAGTTAATGCTGCAATGTGAAGTGTTCGTATATGAGTCACCAATGTTGTAACATATACTATACATCCTTCCTTTTGGAAACCTTACAGGATTTTATTTCATTCCTGGAGCACTGAGCGTCGAATAAAAATGCCAATGGCGAACGAGGGAAAAGTTTTGGCTGCAGAAGGGAGTTCAGATTCTGAATGTAATTCTGCTGTCAGCAAAGGGGTGCCAACTGCCAAGGGTGGAAGTTCTTTGAAGAACATCAAGTGTCGTCAAAAGGAAACTCAAGGAAAATCAGTTTCGGCTTCAGTTTTATCGTGGAAACTGCGTTGGAACACCCTTGGCCTGCAATCTGAATGGTCCAAGGTAGGCGTTGGTTATGCATTTTCACTAAACAAAAGTGGCACACCACTTGGACGCTACCCCGGTTTAGGCGAGAATAAACAGAAACTATGCTTTCATGCTAAAAATAATCGTTACCCTTTGTAAGAAATGAATAGTTTCTAATATTTATTGGTAAACTAGTTCACCTTGACGCTATGTTTGATGCATTCGAGTTGCCACACAACACATATCTAACTAAATTTATGTTCACGGTGAAGGGAACTATGATGTCTCTCTCCCATATGACAAAATCCCTGATACGCTTTGTCAACTGGCTAAAAGACTGGCAAAACCTGCAATGCCTCTGGGTGAAGAGTTCCAGCCTGAAGGTGCAATAGTAAATTACTTTGACCACCTTGATGACATGGAATTTACATCTGTTGTGTCTTCTGGTTTTTTGTCCAAGTGACATGGAAGCTGATTGGAGTGAGCCTATTGTAAGCATGAGATATCTTTCCATACCATTTCATTTTTTGTTTTTCGATCCTGGTTGTTCATCAAGAAATGTCTCACCTTCCTCAGTTTAGGCTGCAAATCAATTTTCCTTTTGGGCGGAAAGCTTAGGGAGGATCCTCTAACAGCAATGTTCCTTCGAAGCGGTGATGTTGTACTTATGGCTAGGAAGCGAGGGAATGCTTTCATGGTAAATGCGAATCTTCATATTTTCCTCTCTTACGTGATTTCTTGTGATAAAAAGTGCAGCTTACCATTTGCCACAACACTTGGTGTGGTTGTGATTTCCTAGAGTACTGTTTTTACAGTCATATGATAAGGGCTTTGCTTTCTTGTGTTGCAGGCGTGCCTCGGGTATTCACTGACGGAGAAAATGCTGAAATTGTGCCTCTTGAAAAGCAGTTCTCTGACGAGGAAGATGTTTTGTGTTTTAGAGTACATCCCAACTTCAAGAATCAACATCAACATCAGACCAGTATTTTGAGTTTCTTAAATTCCTTTTCATTGAATTTTCGGTTTCGGAAAGAATTTTTGGCGATACAGAATTGTAGGAGGTGGTGTTACACATTGTTTCTACCGTGTTTTAAGAATTATTAGATGTAAAATAAAGCTGATGAGCGTTTGGCTAACTGAATTTTAAAAGTGTTGTTAGTATAAAAAGCAACGTAAAAGCATTTGGTAAAATTTAATGTAAAAGTGATATAACTATATACAATAACAAATGTTCATAATAGTAGGAGTTGGGGTGACAATAGTAGTGGTGGTGGTTGCAACAATGATGGTGGTAGTGGTAGTTGTGGTTGTGGTGGCAGTGATGGCGGTTGTGGTAATGATGCATGGTGGTGGTGGCGATGGCGACATCGATGGTGGTAGCAATGGTGGCAGTGGTGGTGGTAGTGATGGTGGCGGTGGAGGTAATGATGGTGGTGACAATGGTAGTGTTTACTTTTTTCTCTAAGACCATCTCCAGCCCTTGGGCTAAAAGCCAAATTTTTTAGCTCGGAAAATTTGGCTTTTAGCCCAGAAACATCTTTTTTGCTCCAACTCTTCTGCCTAAAATTTTAGCCCGGAATTATTAAAGAATGAACTTAGGCTAATTTTTTTCTTAAATCAAATTTTTAAAAAATAAATAAATATGTAGATTATTGTAAATTAATTTTATGAACATTTTAATCTAAAAAAATTTAAATTCCGATAAACATTTGGCATTTAGCCCGGGGGGAAAGCTGGGGGGTATTTGGCCCAGAAATAACATTTGACATTTAGCCTAAAATTTTAACATGGGTTGGAGAGTGTTTGGGGGGGGTAATTTGGGGGGTAATTTGGCTTTTAGCCCAGGTTTGGAGATGGTCTAAAGAATAAAATGTGTGTGGAAAGCTAAATGTCACTTAAAAAAATTAATCAAGGTATACAACAATTGAAAATATTTATTAAAGACCTAACTCTGCTTTTTATTAAAGCAGCTTTTAAAAGTAACCTACAAGCTACTTTTAAAAACTGTTGTTTGGAGCCCGTTGCTTTTAAGATAAGCATGATATTTTACTTTTGTCAAACACTTTTTTACTGCTTAATTTTAAAGTGAAGAAGTTTTTAGTGAAAAAAAAAAGCAATATCAAACTGGGCTTAATTCATAGTACTATTACTATATGCTTCCGCAGTGCAAAATTGTAGTTTTTCCAGAACTCGATTTTGTAGGTTGTTCTGGGGCCTAAGAAAAAATTTGTACCATCTTTGGAAAAAATTTGAAGCTAATGGATGCTAATTGTTTTGTTTATGCTCAATATTCTCCGTTTTAAATGCAAATTAAAATTCAAATTAACTTTACCCCCCAAAAAAAATTAAAATTTAAAATTAAAATCATGAAACTAGAAAGAAAAAGAAAAAGAAATGTTGACAGTGGGATTTGAACCCACGCCCTTTCGGACCAGAACCTTAATCTGGCGCCTTAGACCAACTCGGCCATATCAACTGGTTGTTACAATTTGCTATTTTCAATTAAATAAGGTAATAGAATACACTGCGCCGATCACAAAATAAGTTGTTGCACTTCAGGAAACATTGATTGGAGCAAAATATGCATAAAGATTTACAATTAGATTTGATATCACCAAGCCTGGTAGTGTGAACTTGTAACTAAGTAAAGGAATTTGGTAGTGTAAACTTGTAACTAAGCAAAACAATAATGTGATTGATGTATGATGGAAGTGAGTAAAAGTGTTTTAATTTTGGTCAGCGTGATGCTTGGTCTCACCCCTCGTCCGACATTGCATTCTTTTTTTTCTTGAATTAGGTGGGAAATATTTTATTTTATATAATTAAATGTTGGGTTAGAAAAGACTAACGTTCTTGTGTTATTTTCCAAGTTGTGAGCATGTCTAAGTTTTGCAAAATTTTCTCCATATCTCCATTTTTGTTATCGTATCACAATTGAGATTTTTTGTAGATGCTTATGTTGATATGTTCTTATCTTTATTTCTTGATAAGACCGTCAAGATTAGTATTTAACAGTATGGTTGTGGATAAGACCGTCAAAATTAGTATTTAACAGCGTGGTTGTGAACACTTTTTTGAGGAAAGTTCTTCGATAAGACTGTAAAAGTCATTATTTAACTGCTTGGTTGTGAGATTTTTTTTTTAAATAGTCAAAATCAGTATTTTATATAATTAAATGTTGGGCTAAGAAAGATTTAATGTTGTTGTGCTATTGTTCAAGTTGTGAGGTTGTTTGAAATTTACTCGAAATCCCCATTTTTTGTAAGGTATCCCATTTGAGATTTTTTTGTTGATGTTTGTTGATATGTTCTTATCTTCATTCCTCGATAAGACCGTCAAAATCAGTATTTAACGACATGATTGTGAGAATTTTTCTAAGAAACAATCTAGTTTTGGGGATAAAAATTAGAGACAAAGGTCTGCCCAAGATAGTTCTTTGTGCTTGAAGTTCCTCAACCAACATAGCTCGTATAACAAAGTAATTACTCATATCTCGATTTGAATTTTTCAATATACCAATACTCATTTTACATTTGATCAAAATTGCTCATTCTGTATATTCATTTATGACTTCCAAGTATTAAGTTCAAGGATCAAGATTGTTCAAGCTGAAATTTCATTGTTTGAAGCTTAATTCTAATCACTTTCTAAATCCACATACTTGTTTGAAGCTAAGTTATGAACATGGTTTAAATGTTTAAGAATATCACCGAGACTTTTTTGATATTTTCATTTTTTTCAGAAGTATTGTTATTAAATTCAATATTTTAATGATGTTTTATTTTGATACTTAAACTTTTCTTATGGTTTTTTCACAATTTAACTTCTTTTTTTTTTTGTAATTTTCTTTGTTTATCTTCATATTCGGTATTTTTCTTACATCGAACAGAAAGGTGGTTTGGAAATGTTGAGGTGTGAGCGGCATATGATGGCGATGATGGGAATCTCTAGGTATTATGTTATAGTTCGTAAGGTGAATTTTTTGGGTCCTTTCACACTGTGGATTGGTTGGCTAAACTCTAAAGCAAATAGTAAACCTATTTCAGAAGGATTCAGTTCACCATTTACTTTTAGAGTTTAGCCAACTAATCCATAAAATGTAAAAAAAAAAAAAAAGACGTAAAGATGTGTGAATTTCCAAGTAGGAAACTACGAAGCGGGAAAATTACTCAACAATACAATGTTGTCATATTTAGGTTTATTTATACGTGACATTGTATTATTGGATCTGAATGTCATAATAATGATTAAAATGATCTATACAAGTGCTCTCATCCACGGGAAGGATAAGTCTGAGAATTATATTAGGACTTTGTCTCCCGATTGGAATGAATTGACAACCGAAGACATTATACACAATTATGATATGGTCGAAGCAATTGAAGACTTTAGTGGAGACCAAGGTGTGCTTGTAACTCCCTCCGTGAATGTGGCTGGCTTTTACTACAATACCAAAACAATACTTGCTTCCTCAAAGAAAGTGTAGGAGCTCCTACTCAAAATTATTCGTTGTCAATTTATAAAACTCTGTTTTTATAATTAGAATTATTCATCTTATAAATCACTCTATAAAGATTCTCTCTGTAAAAAATCAATTAAAACTAAGGTCGTTTAGTCATCGAACTATATAAAAACAAATGAATGGAATTGGTAAAAACATTACGAACCGTCTATATATTTGCTAGAATAGATTAACTAAACGACCTTAATTTTAATTCATTTTTTATAGAGATGATATTTACAATGTGATTTATAATATGAACGGTTCTGATCGTAAGCACAAAACTCTGTGAGTTGAACACGAAAAGTTTTGAGTAGGAGTTCCTACTCATCTTTGGGTAACCGTTGTATTTCATCGGCATATGGATCCGGAGAGACGAGAGATATTTCATCGGTAATTAATTTAACGAGTTTAGCAATTTTTGGAATAGGAAATTATCAAAATATTCCCAACAATCACACCCATTATCCACTTTCAAATATTTTTTACAGACACTCACAAAATTTTCAAAACTAATACCTAAGTTTGACAATTTTTTAACCGACCAACTAACACAACGTGAAAGGACGCTAAAATAACCTATTAAAAATCTATTAGTCCGAGACGAAACACACAGCCCATTAATCAATTTAATCGCCTACTAAAAATTTGTTAAGATAATAAGTTTAACACGACACATCTCATTAAGATAATATAAAAACATCACTAACATGACAAATACAATCTGTTTTTCAGGCCCATCACACCTGAAAATTTTCCAGCGGTGTAGAAGAAAAAGAAAAGAAAATCAAGTGGTACAATCCTACCTGTAGCGTAGAAGGAAGAAAAATCAATAAAATACAAAACACGTTCGCAAAATTCCAAATCCCCCGCCTGCTTAAAAATCCCACCCAGCGGCGTCTACGTGTTCATTCCCTTCACCACTTTAATTTTTCAATTTTTGGCAATAAACCCCCAAAAATTAAATAATAAAAATCTTCATTTGTTCTCTCTACACCCTTCGCTTATTTCCCCCCTCTCTCTGCTCTCTCTCCTCGTTATCTGCCACATCAGCAACAATGGGAGGTCCGATCGTGCTGACTCAACTGGCCACCGGTCTCGGCGTCTTGGCGGGCGCGGTCTTCGTCAAAACGATCATGGACCGGAACACCATGGCCGGCCCGTTCCCGCGGTGTCCCAGGTGTAACGGAACGGGTCGGGTCTCGTGCTTCTGCTCCCGCTGGTCCGATGGCGATGTCGGGTGTCGGAGCTGTGCCGGGTCGGGTCGTACGTTATGTAGCAGCTGTGGTGGGTCGGGTACGGGTCGGCCACTTCCGGTTCAGATCTCCGTACAGCGTCCCAACCCTCCGTCTTAGCTGGTTCAGTTCTGCTTCTTATTAGAAAGTTATAGAATTTCTCTCTTTCCTCTCAATTTTTTTTCCAAAAAAAAAATTAAATCTTGTATTATAGTAAGTTAATGATATTTTGAGGGAAGGAGAGGAGGTGAGAGTTCATCATTAGGCTGTAATGAGGTGACTTTCCTTCAAATTAATATATTTTTATAACTAAATTTGTCTGCTTAATTGACAAATTTGTTACCTTTAAGTGTAATTTGTATTGGGTTCCACTGAATTTCACAATTTAGTTTACTCAAGTTTAATTAGAATTTTAGTATTTGCTGCTTAATTTATTGCTTGTGGCCACAAGGTTTGTGTTTATTCATTTTTTTTTGGTTTATTTTCATAGATGTAACTTGGGCTTTTGTGCAAATTACAAAGCAAGAACCAGAGTTTGGCAATTTAATGAGTGAACAGAAATCTTACTGTCCGATCCACGTGTTTAGTTAACTAACTAATCTGGTGTTGAGGTTTCAGGAGTTAGGTCCAAACAGTTTATCTTCGAGAAATGATTTCCATACACGCTCTTTTTTAGTACTCTAATGTTTGTTTGGTCTCTTAATTCTTCAGAAATGTGTCGTAACGAAAAAAATATGCAAAAATCACTTATTTTTATCTCCAAACCATCTAACATGAATTTGGCTTCCATGAGCCTTCGCTTCATAAAAGTTGAATGCTTCAAAACAAGTAATTGTCCTTTTGTTTTCAACTTCAGGGGAATGATTGATGAATTAGATTTTGAATATAATATGCATGATTTGATGGTTAAATATGTGAGTGCGTCCACTCCATCTGGAGCTCACCGTCCTGTGATTAAATTATGTTGAGGCTGAGAGCCCTGTGATGTTAGTTGGCAACTTGGCATCCAAGTGGATGATTAAGTACCTTGTACAACTTTCAGCTGAAAGGGGAGGAGATTTTGGCTACATATATATGAACGAGGATCCTCTCCGGATCCTCTTTGTGAGGACTTTGATAATTCATAAATTATATTCGTTCATCATACATCATGCAATGTGCGATCAGTTTTTGTCAAATACTATTTGTATTCAATTTTAAATAAAAAATTTAAAATGATTTTTGACCACACGATATACAATAAACATACATGATTTATGGATCCCCAGAATCCTCACAAAGAGGATCCGGAAAGGATTCTTGTGGAGCCAAAAATAATGACAAGGCGACACGTGATTTTTTTGGGTAAAAGAGGACAAAAATACCCTTGAGGCATACCGAGATTCCTACGCGCGAGCAGCTGACAATCATCCGTCAATCAAGTCAAAAGTGTCCAAAATAGGTAACAAATTCAAAGATATTCTCATCCATCCTCATCTTAGGTAATCATTTTATAACCTACATAACATTCCATTTAAATGGAGGTTAATTGGCTAATTAATGGATTAATTCCTAATTAATCCATTAATCACCAATTAAATCAATAATTACACCCCCAAAAATACCCTAGGGCCGGCCACGCTTTCTTCCAAAGAGGGCCAGTCATGCTCTATAAATAGGACTCTATTTTCTCTAAAAAGTTTGTTCCAACACTCTTGCAAAACTCCCAAAAAGCTCTCTAAACATTTTTCTCTCTAAATTCTAATTTTGGCATCGGAGGTTCTTCGGTCAAAGCCCCCCCCCCATTCATCATGGGCGCGTGAGGCTTTTGGCCTTAACCAAATGTGTTAGTTGTTTGTAGGTGCAATTTTGTCCAAGATCAAGGAGGGAGAAATTTGCATCCACAAATTGGTGCTTTCATTGAGAGAAGAAATCCACACTCGTAGAAGACTCACATAAAAAAAAAGGTTTTTCTCTATTTTCTAGTCGAGTTGTATTTTTTTGTACGTTCTTATTATTAGAATTTTTTATTTGCAAAGATTCTTTGATAAAACGTAAAAGAAGAATACAATGGCTAGAAATTTAGAAAATTTCACGAGTGAAAATTCCAATATCCAAGGAATGGGACCACGACGATCCACAAGGCTAAATGTGACAATAAGTGGAGCGGCACCACCACCATGAGTTTCCACCACGGTGGCTACCTCGATAACCACCTGTGGCGAGGTCCATGGTGCCTTCACCATTGCCCGAGTCATGCCATCCAAGGCGGCTTATGTCACTAAGGCCACGACCTAAGCCTCACTCTCACATGCATCATGCATCGAGCAGCCCACTCTCGTGGCCCAGCCTGCTCTCGCCGAGCAATCCACTCATGTGGCCCAGTTTGCTCCCATGGCCTTCCAAGTAGCTCGAATCGATTCAAGATTAGTTTAATCGTCCCGACTCCAAATTTTTGGATCGACGATCGAACATGAAGCATTTTCACCACATTTTTCTGCGGATTTGACATTTCCCAACTCAAATCTCACACCCAGAGTCGACCACACTTCCACTGCTCAATAAGATGCATTCCTTCCAAGCTATTCCAACCCAAATGGAGAACAACACTTGTTTCGACAAGTCATAGAGTTGACGAGCGCCCTCGCACAGCAGACGACCTTAGTGAACCAGCTCTTACAGCGCATCGAGATGCAACGTGCCCCAGACGAGGTGTCTCGAAGTAGGATAAAGGCAGACAAAGAACCTCTCCAGCAGTGTCCCAACAAACAGCCCCTCGACCAGCCACGAACCAAGCGTTCGGGCAATGTACACTCCTGATTGGGCTCCCGAGATATCGTATACTCCTGTTTTAGCGCGCAGAAGAGCGTGCAACCTCGACTAGGCCCACGGACGAGCATACATTCACGGTTGGGGTCACATTTCGATAGTCAACATGAGCAACCTTCCAGGCGAAGTGTTCATTCGCAGCTAAGCCCGTAATGAGCATCTTCCACCTTGCATTGGAGTAGGCATCACGACGGACGGAGAGAAGCAGTCACTCAATCCGGCTCAAGTTCAACAGGCAGCCTGCGAAGAACTCGCTCACTTACTAGGAACACACCACACGCACTGCATCAGCGGCATAAACGAGCCAAACACATGGAAGAGCAGCCTAGGCTAGCAAGTCACGGTTGAGGGTAGCCGAGAGCTCCGCTACCTCAACAAAGGCAAATTCAGGAAGAAGTAAAGAAACTTTTGACCAAGCAATTGAGCAATTTCCAACGCAACGAGGTCATCGACGAGGCACTACGATGGAACATGACCAACATAAGCAGGTCACCCTTCACGGACGAGATCGAGTAAGCAGAGCCTCCAAGCGAGTTCAGCATGCAACATTTCACATCTTTCAAAGGGGATGAAGACTCGGAGAGACACTTAAAGCACTACCAAAGCACAATGATCATCTATTGAAACAACGATGATCTCATGTGCAAGATATTCGCCACCACTCTACAAGGCGATGCGCAAGATTAGTTATATGACCTGCCACCACAATCCATCCGGAGTTTCGACGAACTTTCAGTGGTTTTCACCAAAGAATATTCATCTTATCACTCAATAAAAAAGAAGTCTGACTATTTGTTTAATGTTAAGAAGAACCCAAATGAGTCGTTTCGCGACCATGTGAAGAGGTTCAAAGCAGAGAAGGCAAGGATAGTCGGATGCAATAACTCGATAGCTAGAGCAGCCTTCCAAAAAGAACTTCCAGCAGACCACCTGTTATTCAGAAAATTAATCATGAAAGAAGATCTAACTCTGGCAAACTCTTTTGCTCTGGCAGAGAAACATGCACTTTGGGACGAGGCTCCCCAATGTACATTCAATGACTTAAAGAAGTACCCGACATCACCTCCCTACTATCCAAACCGGAAGCAGCAGATGACTTATTCGCATGTTTGACGGTATCTAAAGTAGCAATAAGCTCGATCATTATGCGAGAATAGCTAGGGGGCCGACTACCTGTATTCTACATTGTATTCTACAGTTCAAAAGCTCTCATCGATGCTATTAGAAATTCAAAAGCTAACTTTGGCGATAGTTGTTGTAACCCGAAAACTCAAGTTTTACCTTCAAACGCACGCAGTCATCATCATGACGCACTATTCCGTCGAATCCAGACGCGCGACGATAAAGGCATAGACCTTGGAGGATGCAAAGCTTTCTGACAAATGCAACAACTCGGCCCAAAAGATACGCCAAGGGCAGACGAACACTAGAATGAACACTTAGAAGCAAGTTTTGTCCTCGTTGCCCCAAAAGATTCTACGTAAGAGCAACATGTACCGGCAGTTCAGCACTACCTCCTGCCGCACGTCACATGGCCCTAGCCGACCCTTGCTCCATTATTTAGCTCTAGAGTGGCCAAATACCGGAAGTTGAGCATCTTCTGCTACATGTAACATGGCCCTAGCTCCACGGCTCCCTATCGCACCTTCACGCCTAGCCTTGACAACGCAATAAAGCGGCCCAACAAAGCCTCGAAGGCAACCGAGCACACTTGAGCCGCACCTGCCCCCTCAATGGAGATTTCTGGCATTTACATGTCGACAACGCATTCAACTACAAATGCTTGCGAGCAACCGTGGTTCTTGTCACCCCAGACGGCTCAATGCTCGAACAGGCGATCACTCTAAGCTTCAAAGCATCTAACAATGAAACAGAGTACGAGGCCCTACTAGCAGGCATCTGAATGGTAAAAGACTTGGTGGTGAAGAAGCTCGCAATTCATTCCGATTCCCAGCTAATCACCAGCCAAACTACTGAGAAGTACATGACAAAACATCCGAGGATGGCGCAATACGTAGAGAAAGTACGCAAACAGCTTAAGGCATTTCAAACTTACACTCTCACTCAAGTTCCCCGAGCAGACAACACCCATGCAGATGTGCTAGCCGGCTTAGGACTCAGCTCTCGACCACCAATTCAAAAGCTCTATTCCGGTGGAATATCTAGACAAGCCAAACATAGAGACAGAGCCGGCAGCCAAAGTGTCACAGGTTAGTGTAACTCCCAACTAGCAAAGTTCTATTATAAACTACCTGGTCAACGGTACACTTCCCATCGAAAGATTAGAGTCTAGGAAACTCCAAATCAAGGCCGCACGCTACTACATGTGGAACGGCATTCTCATCCGAAGATCCTGCACCAGACCACATCTCCGCTGCTTAGCACATCCCGATGACTTGAAGGTTCTAAGCTTAATCCACGAAAACATTTGTGGAAATCATTCTGGAGGTCGATCCTTGGCACATAGGGCTTTTAACACATGCTACTATTTGCCTACCATGCACCAAAATGCTAAGGAGTTAGTATAAAGTGCGATCGCTACTAACGCTACAAGCCGTTACCAGCATTACCTGCTAGCGAACTACACTCGTAGACGAGTCATTGGTCGTTCATGCAGTGGGC